AGATTTCAAGCACTTTCTCTTTCCTTATTCTTAATTTGTAGACTTATATATCTTTGCTTCTTTGGCTCCGTCCATTTCTCATTGCCATTTAAATTTGTACTTTCCCTTTTCTGTCATATATACCCACCCATATGGCTTTTTCTTCAACATCATTATGAACTCTCAGCAGGGATACAGCTCCACACTTACCAGCTGTATAGCTTGGGCAGATCCTTCAAATTCTCTGGATCTTCGCCAATATCTCCATCTGTAAAGCTCACAATGTTTGGATTAGGTCATCATTTCCTGACAGGTGGTTCAAGAACCCTTAGTTGTTCAAGACTATGTCTCAGGGCGTTCAGGTCAATGTAAGTTGTAATGGTATTTCTTTCCATTTATATTTTTAAGTAATAAATAAAAATTATACTTTCTATTAAAGCAATAATATTTGATAGTCTTCAGCTGCATGGCAGGTGAATACATGGTGTGGTTAGTGGAGATCAAATGAGATTGCGAGCAGTTTGTCACACCTCAACATAGAAAACCCCACCTGTTTTTACTGATTTCAGTATTAAGTTGTTTTTAATTTCAGTCAGGATGTTGACATTTATACAGTCAAGATAGAAAACACTTCCCTTACCATAAGGATCTCTCATGTTCCCTTTTGATACCTACTTCCACTTCCCTTTCATTCACTCCTGTTAACCCATAGCAACCACTAATCTGTTCTCCATTTCAAGAATGTTCTATAAATGAAATCATACAGTATGTAACCACTGGGATTCACATTTTTCACTCAGTATAAGTCTCTGGAGCGTCATCCAGATTGTTAGATGTATCAATAGTTCATTCCTTTTTATTGCTGAGTATTATTCTAGGGTATTGATGTACCACAGTTTGTTTAACCAATGACCTGTCAAAGCACATCTGGATTTTTCCAGTTTTTGGCTATTACAAACAAAGCTGCTATGAACATTCATGTTCAGATTTTTGAGTGAACATGTTTTCAGTTATCTGGTATAAATGCCTAGGAGTGCTATTGCTGAGTAATTTCCTACTTATGTTTTGAAGAAACTATCATCTGTTTTCCTGGGTGGCTGTACCCTTTTACATTCCTACCAGCAATACATGAATGATACAGTTTTCCACATCATTGCCAGTATTTGGAGTTGTCACTATTTTCTTTTTTTAAATTTTAGTCATTCTGACAGATATGTCTCTTTTTGGTTGTAATTTGCATTTCCCCAATGGCTTATTAATGTTGAACATCTTTTCATATATTTATCTAACATTTGTATATGCTTTCTCACCCAAACAAACTAAAAAGGTGAGGTGGTGGGTGATAGATGTGTTAATTAACTTGATTGTGGTAATCATTTCATAATATATATATATATCAAGTCATCACATTGTATACTTTAAATATAAACAATTTTATCAATTACACCTCAATAAAACAAGCAAACAAGAAAATCATTACCAGCACACCACTAACTTTAGCTCACCCATTTCTCATTTCTCTGATTTCCTTAGTACTCTAAGTACCACAGAGCTTAGAAATAGTTTAATTTCTGCTTCTTTGCTAATTTGGAAAGCAGAAAACATGATTTTTACTTCTTGTACTTTTCCACAGCACTTTCTACAGAACTAGTCATAAAGTAGGTAAATCTAACAAGTATACCTAAATCAATTGATAGATTGTTAAAGCATTGAGGAAATCATCAGAAATTATAAGCGATGGAAGAAACTTGAGTTTAAGAACCATAAAACTTTTACTTGCATTTTTTTTTACCACCGATATTTTCTTTTTAAACCAGTATTTCAGGCTTAAAGATTACTAGAGGAAAGATTCAAGATTCAGTACCAAAGAAGTTTTCAGGAGATTGTACATAAGCTATTCTCTATTCTTCACACATATATTTTCTTCTTTGGACCTGATAGCCTGAGGCCATACTGTTTTATTTTTTAAAATAATCTCTACTTACTCTAGCAATTCATACTCACAGTTATGCAGTTAATTCCTTAACCCACTGTACTTTGTTCAAAAGATCTTGTATCAGTATTTTTTCTTGATGAATGAATTCATTACTTATCCAGTGATAATCAGTTCATAACATGTTTAAAGAACTTCCAGTCTCCTTTTCCTCCACAGTACTCTTTTCATTTTATTTTAATTTTCTATTTCAGTTTTGAAGACTTTATTGGATATGAATTCTACTCTATTAACTTCCAGTTTCCTTGGGCTCTTTTAAAGACACACAAAGGAGAAAATATAGAGAAGAAGGTAAGAGTCCACCATGAATATGTCAGACTGATCCTTTTCCTTAATTAGTGAGTTAGGTTTTTTAATATTTAATGATATAACAGATTTTCTGATTTTTGTAGTTTTAAAAAACTTCTTTATACTGTTTTTATTTTTATGTAGTTTTTTACATATTTAGAAAGGCTTTTATTATTTAATTTAGTGGTTAATTTTGTATTTATAATATTATATAACTGTCTTGGTTTCCAATTTTATCATGTTTCTTTTTTCTCCTTCCCTCTTCTGCATTTCCTCTCCCATCCAATTTTATTAAAAAAATAAAGAAAAAGAAGAAGAAGAAGAAGAAGAAAGAAAATACTACCTTACTTCCATACGTTAAATATTTTTATATTTCCATTATTTGGTATGTCAGATTTACTTTTTCTTGTTTTACTCCCAGCTCCAGCAGATGAGGCAATCAATACTACTTACCTTATTTTCCTTTCTGTCCCAAATTTATGTTAGTTGTATCATTTCTATGTTGTCAAGGCGCATGACATCAACACTCCATTTAGTAACCCAATTCTTACATTTCTTTTATTATTAGTTCTATTGTAAATACTTTTTCAATATTCTCTCCTAATCCGTTTGTCATAATTAATTTAGTCATTAATTGTTTGCCTGAATTAATCCTATGGCAGTTTCTTTAAGGAGGTCTCATGGGAACAATATTTCTTGAGTTTTACAAGTTCATCCTTGAAAGACAGATTGACTAGTTATAAAATTATTGGCTCATATTTTCTTTCCTCAGTGTTTGTAGGTGTTGCTTTGGAGAAATATTATGTCAGATTGCTTATTCCCCTTAATGATTTTATTTTATTTTATTTTTTACCCTGGTGGCACAAAGTTTTCTTTATATTTCAAATCCAGTGACATTACTAGGTTATGTCTCTGCATTGACATTTTTATGTCATTTTCTCCTGGTTCATAGTGTGTCCTGTAGTTATTTAGATTTAAATCTGATTTTATTTCAGGAATTTTAAAAAATTTATGTCTTTCAGTTCTTGCTTGCTTCTATTTTTTTAGCTTCCTTCTTTAGGGTCTTCAACTATGCATTTTTGGGCCTTATTTGACTGTTTTATAAATAGGTAAAGATATATAGACATATAGGTATATAGTTATCTATCCTTTTTAATGTTTTCTTTTTTTTTTTCATTCCATTTTGTTTGCTTTTCTCATTTTTATCCCTATTTTTTTTTTATTGTGTCCTCTTCAAGGTCTGTTCTCTCTTAAGAAGTCTTTTAAATTCGATCTTTATTTTTGTGACATTTTTTCTCTTTCACTTGTTTCCTGAATTCTGCAAGTTTTTATTTCATCTCCTATTCTACTTGCATCTCTTCACCAAGTTCTTGATATCTTTTGCATTTGCCCTTCTAATACTTGAGCTCATGAGAGAGATTGCTGTGAATTACAGTGATTTCCTTTGGTGCATCATCCTTTTCTTTCTCAGTGAAACCTTTGTGTAAGTGGTTAGAATTTTATGTCCTATAGCCTAACCCCTCTCTCTCATAGAAATTCAGGCAGCTGAATCATTGCCATCAGTAAACTTCATGAAGTCTTATTTCTCCTCTTTCCTTTCTGAAATATCCAGTTTTGTTTTTCTTAATATTAATCTATGACTACACAATTTATATGCATGATATTTTATATGCAAAGGTAAAAATCAAGTAACAATATATGTGGTAAATGTTATCCAATATATAAAAATTGGGACATATATTTTTTACCAATTATATCTAAATACATTTATTTCATAGTAACAACATTTTCCCTCCTTAATTTCAAAGTTTAATTGGGAAAAATCTTAGATAAAAATATCTTCTTAGGATTGAAGAGTAAGGATCTTAAATTTATTTTTTAAATGAATATTTATTATTGAATTTCTATATTGCTATATACTCACTACAGAGGTTATAATAGTTGTTTGTTCTCTGATTCTTTTTCATTACTGACTCGCTTCTATGCAGAATAAACTTTATATTCTCAGAAGTATCCTAAATGTCTTTTCTAGTTTTTTCTTTCTATTTAATCTGCTTGACTTTAGCCTGAGGGCTTAATAGATAATCGTAGCCAAAATGAAAGTTAAAAATTAACTCAGAACTAGTTTGCAATCTGCCTGGTACCAAGAGATTTGCAAATCTCTAATTCACTCAGCTCTTGGAAGCTGAATTAATTATGGCAAATCACATTAATTTAACTATTCACTAAGCCTTTATTAAAAACAAATCTATTATGTCACATAGAACACATTGTGAATTTGCCTGAAGACTCTCGGCTTGTCCATGTATTATGAAATTCCTATTTAGACATTTAGTTTAGATGAGAACATGGATCATGCGGTGAAGCAGTAGGTTTCTCTTACTGTCGTTTAGGTCCACAGGCCTTCAATTCAGTTCACATTTACTGAATGTCTGCATTGTGCATATCCCATAGGTTATGCCTCATTTCCTCAGAGGTTACAGATAAAAACCTGATGTAAGAAATGTCCATGAATAATTACAATACACGGCGAACGGAAAATATATAATTGGTTAAAAAATAAAAGGAGAAAAAGATGGGCTCTGACAAGATTAGAAAAACTTCACAGATGGAAAAGGAAGTTGTGTAAGCAAGGTCTTAAGGGAGCAGAAGGACTTTGAAAGGCAGAAATGGGAGAGTGGCAAGGAAGGCACTTGAAACAGGAGATAGTTAACAAGACAGAGAAAAGAATGTGGCACGGCCTGTTTAGAGAGCAAACAAGTTATGCTGAGGTAGCAGGTGAAGTTTTGAGGTGCATGGTAACCCTCAATTCAGCCCGTCTGGGTTAAAATCTTAGTATTGCTTCTCATTCGCTATGTGACCTTTGGCAGTTTACTAAACCCCATAAGCCTTTCTTCCTCCTTGAAAAATGGCCATGATAACATCACATCATGATGTTGTGAGAACTGAATGTGCATTCATGCATATAGAGGACGAGGACTACGTTACACGGCAACACTGTGCAATTTAGAAAGTTTTGACCTCCTCTCTCCCAGAGATACAACCCTTCACCAGGGCTCTCATATCAGTAAGCGGAAATGCAGATGGATTTGAGTCCCCTTGCCCCTTCACTCAAGCATCTTTGTGCAGGGCACAACCTGCACAACTGTACACAAAAATCCTGAAGAAATGGTTTAGCATAGTGCTTGGTTATAACAAGAACTCAGTAACTACTGGCCATCGTTATAATTATTAGGTGGCAATCGACGCCAAAGCACAGAGCTGAGGCTCAGTTGGAGACATCTGGTTAAGTCTGTTATGAAAAGTGATCGGTGTATTCACAATGCACACCTAAGTCTTAGAAAAGAGTTCAGAATTGGAAAGCGACCTGATGGGCGTCCATTCCTGACTGACCCTTCTCCCACTAGATGGTGCTGTCTTTCATGCAGGCACAGCTTCGGCTTGTTTTCGTAAAGCTGAACTCTGGTTAGAAATGGCTTTTATTTACTAATAACTTGATCAATAGCCAGGTGGTATCTGTCACCCACAGGCTTCCTTCAGCTCTCTGTGGGAGAGGAGGTGTTGCTTCTCTCTCAGAGCATGCGTGTTGCTCCATATACTTAACCACTGCTCTAAGAAATGATTCTCAGGGGACAGTAGAGGTCAGTAAGCCACGACGAGGAAACTCCATTAACTTCCTAACACTTTGAATTCAAAACTAGAATATCATCAATAATTAATTTACCAGATAACAGTGTCACTTTATTATTTGTCCACTTTTGGCTTTGTTAGAGTGGGAGTTATTCTCCAGACACGTAGTCTCCATGCCAGAGAAGAGGATCCTGCCCAACTTAAGTCCTAAGGCTGTATTTTTGTTATTTCTGTCTTCATCTTTTTTGATTTATCTGGTTCTACAGAATTTGTGAGCTTTGATACACGAAAGATAGTTTTCTGAGTCTTTTAATTAACTTGCATGCATCAAATGATTAGGATAACTTGCTACTAATGAAATTATATAATAAATTTAAGTTCAGTTGTGAGTATATCATACATCTTTACGTATTTTCTACTTTTGTCACTCTTTGAGGAGAAAATATGAGACCTCAAGGGTATTTTTAAAAGATTTCTGCAAACCATTTCAAACAATATAAATGAACTTTTTAGGCAATGCAAACTATATAAAGAGCTTTTTGCTGCTCCCCCCATGCATTCTGGGAAATGGTGGGGCAGAAATTGTGCTGCTGCTTCTCCATGTTCCTTTGTGAACAGAGCACCTCCTATTACTTTGGAACAAAGTCTACCTCTTGATGTTAATGGTAAAACAGCAGCAAAATGAGGAGAGAGATGGGAAAAACTGCTAAACTGGTTCGTGACGTTTTCCTGCCTAACATGCTCCTGTGGCTTTCTCCCATGTCCCGCTCTGCTTCTCACGGGCAGAGCACTTGAAGGACAGACTCATCCACAGTCTTCGAAGGTTACATCTTTGTGAAAGGAAGGGTGTTTGAGCATAGGAGGTGGGGTTATATTAGAACACCCTAAGGGAGCACGTGTTCAGAATATTCAGACTATACAAACAGCCTTTAGAGATTCTGAAGGTAGACACAATTGACCCTCGGTCACCCCAAGGAGAAAGCTTTTTCTCACTTCTGCTCCCCTGAAGGAAGAAATAAAATAAAATCCTGAATTCTCTAGTTCAATGTATAATGTCTTCCATATTCTGACTCCTGCCTAAATCTCCTGCTCATTTACTGCAGACTCTCCAGTGCATTCTGTGACTAGATATAGTAAATGTTTGTAATTCCTCCCACATGTACCATTTTCCCTCAGATCTATGTGCATTTTCTTTGCCTGGAATGCCTGTCCCTTTTTAGGTTATCCAAAGATGTTCATATCATCCTCAGTTCATGCCTTTATCTTCTCTGTGACACAGTCTTTGTCACACCCTCCTGGAAACTAAATATCACCTTCTTTTAGTCATCTCTTCATCTCTTCCATTGACTGAGGGTATGAACTGCCTCGTTTAG